ATCCAGACCACCCAGGCATCCTTAGGAATGTGCCAGGCTGCCTTCTGGGGCAGCAAACTCCAGTTACAACATACGTCGGTGTGATTGGTATTGCCTGCGTTGAAGGGAAAAGGTTGTCATGAGACACAGGACATAATGATCTTAACGGCAGAGAGCGTTAGGAGCAAGGGAGAGATGAAAAGACAAACCAAGGACCAGACACTAATGCCTCAGATATCACTCGGCAGCTTCACAGGCCTATGAGGAAAGGGGCTCCAGACCAAAGCACTGAAACCTTTCCTGAAAACAGTGGAACGTCACTGCAGCAGCGCCCAGTAAAAAAAAAAAAAATCACATCTTCACGCACCCCCCCGTTTGAAAGGCAGGAATCCAGGCTGCCCATAACCTCACGGAGCGCCAGCAATGAAGCCACAGTATTTTGCCATCTGCATTTTGCCTGCACTGCCTGTCTGCTCACCCTGCAGTGGTTACTTAGCTGATGAGAGCGCGATACCCATTAACCCCATGTTCTGATCCTTACCACCGGGCTCCTGCCAGCAATAACTGTTTCTAAGGTCTCCAGTGCAGCTGAGTTAGGGTTTTTCTTCTTTTACAAAACACGCTGGGTTTGAGATATTCTCATACAGGCAAGCAGGGTGAATGCAGAAGCATGGGGCTGTCTTGCAGAAAGAAGCTCCCATTCCACCATCCCAGCGCTACCAGTACAAGTCAGAATAGTCACACAGGAATCGGCGCTTCCATAGGTACAGAGCATTCCCTACCCAACCTTAACTCACCAGGTATTCCCTTCCACTGCATCCTTCTAATGACCCAGTGAAGTCAGTCACAACTTACTGTAATTATTAGCATCTTTGACCTTGCTACTGAATATGAGAAGGACTGAGTGTTACTGAGATCAATCCCAAACAACTTTGAAATATTTTTCCTCTCACTGCATAAACATTGGCAAAATATTAGCCTCCGTGAAACACTACGCACGATACACACGCACAGAAACACCATTCACCTGGTCCCGTCCTCACCACTGAACAACTAATAGAAGATTCATTTCCAAAAACTAAAAAAACCCCAAACCAGTTTGCATTAAGCAAAAGTAACAGACACATCAGAGATTAACTTCCAAAATCCATGCAAGGCCAGCAATGCCTGTTGCTGGGCTTCACAGGTAAAAGCCTGGGCTTTTAAAGGCCGATTAAAAGTTCACTTTTAACTAAAAAGAGAAATACAGTTCTCTGAATATCTGGTGACTCAAAGGCCGTTATCCTTCAGGTAGAATTCAGTGTTGCTAAGCACTGGATGGCATTTTCAGTGCATATGCTGGGCCTGAAACAAGAGAAAGCCAGGATTTTGTAGTATGTCATTAGCTAGGAACTAGTAATTAGTGAGCGCCGTTGCATTCACCCATTTCTGATGTACACCTGGCATCGATACCTCTTCGTAGTGTGCACTACCACAGGGCAGGCTAAGGAGCAGAGACCTAAGAAGAAAAAACCTTGTGAAGAGTAGAACTCGTCAGAATTTCACCTGTGTTTATATCATACAGAACTCTCTGAATAACCGATTTCTCCTTTGGATCCTAACTCCACAGGGGCAGCCATTCATTAGTTTGATCTCTACACCTCTCTACTGCTGTGCTCCAAGTCCGGGCTGGCTTTGCTGCTGCTGCCTGATCTGCACCCGTGTTCAAAACTTGCTAATTCATTGCATTCAGTGGCGCGATCCCTACAATGTGATAGGAATCTGTCTGGTTAACTCATTTCCTACCGGCCTTGCATGCAAAGTGAAGCCATGTTCAATTATTGCTCCTCTTTTTTTCCCCTAGAAAATCAGATTTAAGGTGTGTGTTTCACTCCCTGGTCCTTTGGCATACATGCTCACAGAGTATGCCTCACATTCCCCTCTATATTAAAGAGATTCCGGGCGTTTTATTATACTGGGAAAGATTTTAAGGTACAAAAACTGTGTAGAAAAAGAAAAAATCCCCCCACCCCCTGCCCCGTCCCCTGTCACTGTGATTTATAGGAAAACACTGCATTAGTTTTAAATGGATTAGTTTTGAGTGGATCATCGTCACTCTCTAAAGGCATTTTTATGGAAGACTTGCCAGGCCTTAAGATTTGTGTATCTCTGTGTAACTGAAGAACAGCTGCAAAAGATGCCAACGTCTTCGTGTGAGTAAGTAAGAGGAAATAAGGGATATTTCTGTGGCAGGAATACACAGGCCAGGCTGCTTTCTATCCCAGCACGGCTGCTCCCCTAGCTTTCCCATGTCAGGAGGCACAGCACACACTAATGCACAAACTGCTCTTACGCCTGCCACAATTGTGGGGTACAAACGACGCACAGGAATGGCAAATTTTCCTTTTGTCAACCAGAATTAGCCTCTCCCCTGAGTGCTTCCCGGCTTAGTTCCAACAGGTACAGAGAGGAAACTGTACGGAGCACGTAAACCACACGCGACCTGCAGACCGCCTGTACGCTAGCGTAAAGCGACCGTTAACCCTGCGCTGTGGGGAAATACTGAAAAGGTTAAATCACTGCTGGTCAAACCATAGGCATTAAACAATGTCCGATAGCAACCCCCCAGGTTAGACGTCGTCACACTGTAACGGAGTGACGGTCACTTGCTGTAATTCACTACAGAGATGTCATGGGACCGTCACTGTCCAGAGAGCAAGAAACGCAGCCCTGGGTAGAACAAACAGCATCGAAGGAGGGATTGCAGTTTTCAGGCGACTGAAACATGCCCACATTAGTCAGCAAAGCATATTATTGCGATAATCTGAATTCAACAGCTTTGTCTGGGTATGAAATCAGTGCAGCAGCAAACTTCTGTAGCTGCCAGAAAGGAATCGGTTCATTTCCAGGCTAATAACTTTTTACATTTTTTTTTTCCCTGCAACATTAGTTTTCACGTTAAAACTTGATGCCCACACGTGTCACTCCCCAGCACTCTGCAGCAAGCAGGCAGTTTCAGCTCTGTAAGAGGAAAGGGAAGGAGGCAATATTCTATACAGCATACCCTGCGAAAATGCAAAATCTCAAACAACAGCCGCACATACCGGACTTACCAAATGGACCCCGAGAGCCCCAGTATTTACCTAGAAACAAAACGCATTGCACAGATTAGATTCATCAGAGCCCTGTTTTGTAGCTGTCAGCGAG